ATTTATCCCCTGCAGCTTCCCGCAGCTTGATCCTTTTTCTTCTTCTTTTTTTTTTTTCCTTTCCCTCCCGAGCGGCCTCAACTTCTTCTCTGCTCTCCAGGTAGTTCAGAGCGAACGCGTGGGCCCAGAACAAATGGAGCCGGCAGCTGATCCAATGACGGCAGCGATGCGAGAGGGTCCCAGGTGGAGTCGTGACTCAAGTAGCACTCCAAGATGGGGAGGTGTTTGAGGGAGCGAGGGGAGAGGGTACGGGGGGGTTGGTGGGGGGGGGGCACACAAGCGGCGCCCTGTGTGACAAGCTGCCTGTTGTGTGTGTATACTCCTTGACAGCGGGGAAAGCAAAGAGACAGCAGACCTCTGCCCCCCTCCCTCCCTCCCCTCGCCGGACCTCCGCCAAAGTACGACGGGACTCATATTTATTCCCCCTGAGCGGCAGTGGCAGGCGTGTCCTCCTCTGCTGCCCCCGCGCTTGTTTCAGTGAAACTGGCGTTGAAATAGCAGGAAGATGTTCGCCGAGCAGCACGCGACGGGGAAGCCGAAGCTTCACTATGAGGATTCATCATCACAAGGCTTTGCCTTCGCATATACAAAGGTATAAAGTTCATCAAAGGGTAGACTTAACCCTCCTATTTTCTTTCAGTGTGTGTTCAGGGGAACTTCTCGGTGTGGTCAAGTAAACGTGCGACGTGCGATATTTCGTTTACAGATGACCGTCGTTTCAACTCTTAACCAGCTAATTAATACGACCGTCAAACGCACATCACAGGCGACACCCAGGGAAGAGTGGGATTCCATAATTGGAAATTTTCCTCCCAGGAATTGTTCTTCGATGGAACTATTCAAACGCTGTCTCTTGAGAAATGATGTTGATGCGAGTGTGTCATCGTGTCTTAGCGGTTTTTAATAGGAGCCGCCACAGGCTCGGCCTAATTTCCCGGATCGGCAGCGTTGACCATTAACGCTTTTATTGGAACGTGCTGCCGGCTTTTCATTACTTTAAACGTCAAGGGTTGTAAATAATACAGTTAAAGATATTGCCCCTTTCCCCTGTACACGGATTGAGCATCGCATTATTCTCCGTCTGGCAGCGTACAGAAGTGACGTCATCCACCGGCGCCCACTCGGGTGCTTCCCTGTGTCTCCGTAGTTGTTTGAGATACGTGACCTGATTTCCTTCACCTTGTGGTGCGTGTGTGGTTGCGCGGCTGTGCACTTAGGTCGGGGGGGGCAGTGCCGTCGCCCCTCTGACTCATCCCTTCCTGCCTCTTTCCCCTTTTCCTCACGCACTCCCTTTGCAGAGAGTGACATTTATTAATTAAATATGTGTACTGCCGCGGGATGTGCCTCCCTTTCCACTATCTCCAGACACTAATAATTACATTGGCATTTAGCTCTGTGATAAGCCGACCCCATGGCCTTCATGAAATGTTCCCTGGGCCCTGATACTGAGCAAAATATAGACTGAGGGGAGGCTATATTGATCCAATCGCCCGCCTGGTCGCTTTTATCTTAAGAAAAAGAGGAACCGTCCATTAGCATGGGTATAAAAAGAAGTCTTTGACACCTGATTTCTACATAATTAAAGGCTGAAATTGAGCTTTTCTGGAAGGATGCTGTTTAATTGAAGTTGGAGCTGATGTTGACAAGCTACCGCAGGTAAACAAGGGATCATTTTTATCTCTGACGGTCTAAGGACTACTACCTTTGCCTGTAGAGACTTAACTCACACCACCTGACACACAGTGCATCATGATCAAGTTTGAATGAGCAAATACACGACGGATCAGCTGCTGAAAGCTCAACGGCATCCGTGTTTCCGCTTAGAATATTTCCCTGCAAAGTGAAGTGAGCTAAAAAGCTTTGGAGTATTAAGCTTGATTTTGCTTTACCTAATTGCTTTGCCTCGCGCGGCCTAATCAGACTGGTGCATTGCCAGATTATGTGGTTTGTTAGCTTTAGGGATGCACCAATTGATGCCTGAGTCACAATCACTGTAATCATGCATTGGGTTTATAAAAAGCTCACTGGTACCAGTCACATTTTAATAAATTGTCAGCAATTAGCCCGCTATCCGTCCCATCAGTTACCATGGCACCGCGGCCGTTTGCGTTGGTTTTTATTGACAACCTGTTTTTCTTTTCTTTTCCACACGACTCGGGTTGTGCTTCTCAGGCTTGACTTCCAGCCTTCCTTCGGCGGGGGTTAGAGAATGCCTTTGTTACAAATAGCAGCGTGGAGCAAATCACTTCAGGTTTGTCTGAATAATCACTAATCACCAAATTAAACTGGAGATTTGAGTCCCACAGGTTTGCAGCAAAGGCCCCGGCTGTTTCAGCGGAAAACACCTGGGCTCCAAATTGGACCTCCGTACTCGGGTTGATGTACCTCTCGGTATCGGCTGAGATGGCCGGTGTTCTCGTGCGAGGGGACGACTAGCGGAAGCTTCCTAACCTGCTAACTGCTCAGCTGAGGAGAAAAGCCCCAAAACGAGTGGCGAAGATGAGTGAATGAGGCAAAGTGAAGAATGTAGCCGCCGGCTTTTATTACATGCGACTTTCTGCCCGGGCAGGTGTGTATTCATTCCGTATGCACACACTGTGGTGCTTTAATACTGCGTGGAAGTGGTAATACTTTCCGCCGTGTGGGATCATAGCAATGGATGTCTCATCTTTTTGTTTGTGCCGTTTTCCACTTGTTTGCAAAGCGCATTTCATAACTAGAAACCCAATAATCTCTCGGCGGGTAGATGTACGTGGTGTTTGTAAAACTCAGCTTCTGGGACTGGCTCGATCCATCAAACACCATAACGGAGTATGTAGCGATGTTATTTGATCTTTCCTCTCCTTTCTCCCACTCGCTGTAATGGCAATATCTCCGGTTGTGTCAGCCCTGGAGTTGGTTCCTCTGAATAAAGGGCAGAGCTTATTCGGCGGAATTGTTGCCAAATGTTCTCATCACAGGAGTCAACTCCTTCAGAAATTGCAGTTCAGATGCAGTTTGAGGACTAATGGGGTTGCCTGATTTGTAAAAGTGATAAATGCTTAATATGCAATTTGCGGCTGTATTAAAGTTAAACTTCTGGTACACAGCGAAGATCTAACAATTTTTTATTCTTTTCAAATTTTTCAAATAGTCTTTTCCCCTTGTGATTAGCCATAGTTTGTTTTGTTATATAAAACAATTAAATGAATATGGGCCAAGTTTAAACTCATCCCAGTCGTACACCTTGGAAGTAGAAAAGGATCACATTGGTTCCCCTATTGAGTCTAAAGGCCGGCGCATGCTTCTGCGTCGCGTGTGTTGCAGAGCAATTCACCTCCAGAACAACAGGCGGAGTGACGTGTTGTTGTTGAAGACGACCTAGAGAGTCACGTCTATTTATTTATCATAGACTTTATTGCCCCGTGCATCGCCACTGCTGCTTTTCATCGCGGACACATTAGTCCCGTATTTTCCTCCACAACTCTCGACCGGCAAACCGGCGTTTGCGGCGATCTCCCTCCGTGAATCCAACCCGCTTTATACAACCCGCCAACGGTGGCAAGGGACACGCAAAGGGGGTCTTGGGTCTGCGTTGCTCTGAAAACGCAGAAGCATAAACTAGGCTTAATCTAGACTAATCTAATTTATTGAGCAGGGTAACAAACTAGTCAGTACGGTGCAGATATTTCTGTGATTAATTTATCCATCTATTGTTTTTTTATTCACAATTACTGAAGCCCACTGCGACGTCTTCAGACATCTTTTGTACAACTCTAAATGCAGTCCAAGAAACCCGCCAATCGTTACACATATTTGGCTTTTTTTGCTTTTTTTAATCGCTTAAATGATCGTTGCAAATTAATTAATCTGTAGAGCGATGCATCCGTCAGTGCAGAATCTCCCCTTCCAACCAAACTGCTGCTTGTTGTTTAACAAAGGTTGCGCTCTACATGAAGCCTGAAGTTGCGGTACCAACGGCTCATTTCCCTCTCAGCCCACTCAGCATATTTGGTACCCCCCCCCCTCCCTCCTCCCTCCCCAACAAACACAGTTTTTGGCTTTGGGAGCGGCGACCCCGAGCCTTTGCCGCGGTGTGATTCACACCACCTGCCTTCCGAATGTCCGCATCCACGGCGTTTATTAGCTTAGCTAAATTGTGCATACTATTCAAAGGTCACCGCCCGCTGCGACACGCCGCTGCCAAAACCGCTGCCCGCGGGGACGCCTCTTCGGATGAATAAATGCTGCAAGCCGCACCGCCCTCCGCCCCTCCTTTACCTCCCAAAATGTGCAGCACATTTGGCTTTTACGGGCCTCGCACAAGGCCCTGTGACGGATGGGCGTCTGCTGGTGCGCTTCGCCTCACTGACTTCCATTTCAGCCGGCGAAAGGCAGCAGATTAATTCGCTTGTCAAATTTCCCTTTTTTTTGTTTTGGCCTTTCCTTTCTTTTCTGCAGGGGTTTATTCAGATCGCAAGAACGATGGGTTTGTCCTCCAGTGAATTAAAACATGCAGTATATCTGTATAAGTACAACCTACCAGGTGATGAATGGTTTTTGACTCCGGGAAGCAGTAAACTTCCTCCGTTTGGCTGTAAAAACTGATTTAATGAGAGAATGACTTGAATAGATGAGCAGATATGGCAGCGGGGATTATTGGCAGTGGAGCTGAATGGAGGGGAGGGTGGATGATATCCAGTTTATCAGTTATGTAATGCACTTTTTATGAGACCATACCTGCAGGGGCCAGCAGGCACTCTGCACGAGACGGGTGAACGCGAGCTGGAGATGCGTGTCGAAACCTATACGTGCTTTCGAGGAGACGTGTACTCTTACGGTGCATGTTGTGTCTCAGGTGGTATAAAGAATTTAGAGCGATGGAAGGCACGACCCGTTGAGTGCCTGTAGAGATACCGAGGCTCCATGTTTGATTCATTTACTGCGTTTGCACACGGGTTTTGTTACAGTATTTATTGTGCTTAAAATAATTACCCCTGCCTCCCTTCCCTCCCCTCCAGGCTTTGTTGGGAGGAGACCATCAGATGGATCTAACCACGTTTCAGCACACACTCTGGGACATCCTGACAAACGGAGGCCGTGTCAAGGTGAGCGCCGCCCCTCTGCATCCTCCCTCTAGCTGACTGTGCTCTTCATTCACTCCTTTGGGGCTTTTTTTTAATTGTTAAACAAGAAAATGAAATGAATGGACATAATTCTTCACCAAAGGGGTAAATAACGCACCTGCAATGATGAAACACAAATAGTTCCCTCTAGTTTGCCTCATTGTTTTTGAGGGATTTTGTAGTTGGTAGTTTGCTTGTAGTCGGTGAAACAGGGAGGATTTGCACTGCTTAGTTAATCCGGTGACTCCATCGTTGTTCTTTAAGCGCGATTGGTAAGATTAAAGAGCAAGAGAACCAGCGTTTTTTTATTGTTCTGTCTTAGCATTTGTAAATAGAATCTTGTTGCAAAAAGACAATCTAATGGACTGTTCTAGAAATCTAACTTTGATGTCAGATCTCTTTTACCAAACCGTCCTCGCTCACTTCCTCCTTTCACCTCCAGCTGATTGAAATCACCTCCAACCTTCTGCTGTCTGTCATTTAACTTCGATCCATACCAAAAAACATTTCCCTCTGGCCACTGGGGAAAAAACACAACTCCCCGCTCACAATGGCTGGGTCGATCCCCCCCTATCTTCCCTCCTGGACCATGAGCACCGAATGGGGAAAATCAGTTTCTGTGCAAAAAGCCTGATTAAATGTAGCCGGGGGTGACGTTCTTCTAGTTACCGCCGGTGGGGTTTGACGTCCGAGCCTGCCGGCGTCTTTTCCTCACAACCACGTGTGTTCGTGTCGCGGCTGAGGCCCAAAAGAAGAATGTCCGCGCCCTCCTCTCAACCCCCCCCCCTCCGTCTCCTAAACCGAGGACACGCAGAGTACGCGATACCATCCCTTTCATTTCCGCTCTTCCAGATAAAAAGATGAGACCGGGCAGAGCAGGCAAAGGGAGGCCTATCGGCGGTGATTGAGTCCCTTCGCTAAGCCAGCGCGAGGATCCGCTCAAATAACCCGCCGTGCCGATAAGGAGCCCGTCATCGCCATAACAAAAAACACATCGCCGGTTCTGATTGGATTGCGCCGTCTGCCCCGGCTTATCTTAGTGTTGCTCCATCATAGGAGGTGAAATTATAAAGGCAAACTCGTGTCCCCCGTCTGAAATGCATCCGCTTGAAATGGAGCCGGGTTGTTGTTGTTTGCAGTTGCAGCGCAGGTTTGAATTTGATTTTGCTTCCCCCATTTTCAAGCCGCTTTTTCAAGACGTCTGGCTGCCGTTATGGAATGAATTCATTTGCAATCCATTTTCTGCTCGTATTGCCATCGAGTGTTTGTTTCTGTAACGCTTTCGTTTCTGACCAAGCAAGAAGATTCTCACAATACAACTGGGAAGATAAACAAAACAAAGATTTGCGCCACTGCTTTAGAAATCAGTTCTATAAAAATAATAATGAATAGAAAACAATTCAAAACCTACCACAAAATGTTCCTTCCCCTCCTAAAAACCTTGAGTTCACTTCCCTTTACCTGTTCTCACGTCAAGCAAGCAAGCGGCCGCTGCAGGTCTCCGCCGACGCAGGTTTCCAAACCTGAGCCTTTTCTGTTCGCGCACAAGTCGGCCGTACCGGTTGTTTCCCTGCGCGTTCACGGCCGGGGGGGCCTGCTGAGAAGCTTGCTCGCTCGAGGAGAGCTGTGACTGCGTCGGTAGATGTAATGGTTGGTGGCTCACAGAGGAAGCACTCCGTCTGTTGCGGGAGCGGACGGCGGATCAGCGGTTCTTGCGGATGCAGCGTGACGGTTTGACGCAGCACAGGCTATAATAAGACTTTCTTTTTGGACCGCGCTGCTGCAGTGTCATTACTTTAACTGCCGTTTTGTTTTGGGCATCTTTCACTCGGCTGCTGATTTATTCATCCTTTATATGCAAAGCAGCCAGAGACCAGCTTGTGGGGGGGGAAAGGCCGATGAATGATAAAGCATTTTTAACGAGCTATTGGAAAAGCTTCGCCTCTCTCGCATGTCAGCTGCTGTACGGCAGTTTACCAGCGAGGCGTTTACATCCTCCAGGAGGCGTGAAACCCTTTTAAAAGCACTCGAGTCGGCTGCTATTTGCCGCCCCGATAAAGCGCCCCGCCGTCGCACCCGTTGCGTCTCGGGCCATATGTTCGCCTCGCCGTTCTCTGGTTGCCTCGAAACCCCTGAATCACAAAAGCCGCGTTGCTTTGGGAAAAGACTTGAACCTGAAAAGCCGGTATGACTCTGCTCTTCACGTGCACTTGAGCATGCCGTCGCTGGTGTAAACAGGAAGTAGATTGGTTGCTTGGTTACAGAAAATATGAGAGGAAAATGGTAGTCTTTTAACGAGAAAAGGTAGTGCTTGATCTTTTCTCTCTTTCTCTTTTTCTCTGACAGTGACTTTAAAATGAGCACTCGTGATCAAAGTTCACTCCATCACGGGTCGATAAATGCGCTCAACAAACGTCTCTCACTCTTTTTGGGTAACGTTGTCTCAAGTCTCGTAGCCGGGCGCGTAATAGGCGGGAGTCTCTGTAAACAAACGAAATCACAAAGGTTTCTTTGTTAGCTGCAACAAAATGCGCATTGATAACAAACGTCAAATCTTGCAACTCAATCGCGTTCAGCGAAGCCTTGACTTCCGACGTCCTCTCTGACCGCTGATGACGCCTCAGTAATCGCTCTATTTGTCCGCTCTGTCACGTGACGGGGCCGGTGGAATCAGGGCACGCTGTTCTTTAAACATGTTTGTCCCCCCGCTACTCCTTTTTGTACATTTTTACAACCCTTTCATGAAGAGGGTCTAATCAGATCTGACATCAAGAGCATTTGGGGGACTCTGCATCTATTGCGGCACCTTTTTCTCCCCCCTCCCAGTGGCACGCGATGGCTGACGGGCCGGCGGCCGCCAGCAGACGGCCTTCCTCTTTCGGCCCGTCTTACCGACACGCCTGCTCCTTTTTTTTATTTATTTTTATTCCTTTTCGGTTTCCCTTCTGCCACAAACAACAGCTCGTTCGGGCCAGAGTCTGGCAGAGGATTATTTAGCTCTTACTGAACACTTTTTAGTATGACTACAGAACTTCTGCCGATCCATCTGACACTGTTGCAAAATGGCGACATATGGCCACAAATCTGTTTTAGCACAGACTGCAACAATTATAGCACTTAATGATCTGATTACATGCTCTTAAGAGCGTACAGGAACTTTATTGTGCTTCTGTGGCCAACTTGGATGTTAAAATCAGTGAACTACTGACGAGTGTTTTCTTTGCAAAATAGTTTTTCCTGCACTTCCGTCACAGTTCACCGAAGCCTTCACATAAAATGCGCGTGATCGCCTTTACCGTTATTTTAAGGGCCCCCTTTTTTTCCCTTCTCCAACGCCATGGAGGGATGTATAAAAGTTAACACGCGTTTGTGCGTGTGTGTGCATGTGTGTCCCTCATTTACATAAAATGGTGTGTTTTCCATCAAACCGTGTCACACATGATTCCGCCATATGTCCACAAATTTACCCCTGACTGTTTTCTCCCACACTCAAACATGTAAACGGACTACGGAGAAACCCATCAGAGGTCGCCTCGCGTCGGCAGCGGCCCCCGGTTCAGAGCCGAAACGCGCATCTCCAGAAGACGTGACTCATACGGTAGAAGGTGCTATTACACTGTTTTTCGGTATCAAAACACAATCGCAACTCGCATGCGACATTTGACAGCAGACGGGGGGAGATATTCTCCCAGAGAAGAAGATTTTGTTTCGGAAGTGCCATTAAAATGAATCAAAAGATTGTGAACCTACGTGAATCACTCCATCGCCGCTCTCGCGGGGACGTGGAGACACAGAGGAGGAAAGTGCCAGCAGCTGTGCATGGGAGTCGGAAAAAGAAAACCACTCGGGGCGTCTTTGTCCTCAGTTTAAACAGCGCCACAGAGGGGAAGGGGAAGGGGAGGTGGCAGAAGAAGGGAAAAGAGACGAGCGCTTTCTCACAGCTGCCCAGCCCGAGGCCTGAAATGTGTGGCGCTCTTCTCGTCAGCGTGTCACCAGCAATCCGTCCTCGCCTGTCATTACTTCAGCTCTCGCTGAGCACACGCACACACACACACACACACACGTGCGCGCGCCGTCTCTCAGACACACACAGCGCACACTGTCTGTGCTGTCGCGGTCTACTCTTAAATGCTGCCAGCATCAGATCCTCCGACGTGGCCAACTTAAACGGAATGGAAGACAGACGTCCGTGAAACGGGACGGCATCCTGGCACTCCAAACTATAAGACCACGAAAGAAAAGGAAATCCGGTGGCTAAATGATTCAAATAGGCAGTGGGCTACCACATTAACTGTAGTACATGACCGTCACCAGTCATCTCAACAACAGCCATCTGCGGCGACCCGATCAATCAAATGAATTCTTCCCGCAGACGGCGAACAAAAGATGTGTAACGTCACATTCGCAGATTATACAGATTATTAGAGCTGCACGCAGATGACACACTGAAAAGTGTGGTGGAAAAGAGACCAAAAGCATGCAACACATTACAATACGATGTGAAATGTGCATAACGTGGCACGCTTATAAAGAAGGGCCTCGTCTTTGCTGCTTTATCACCGAAGGTATTCCATGAGGTCGGTGTCTCCAACACACCGTGAGTCGGTGCACAGGCGGATATTTAAATTGCATCAGTTCCTCTGACGGAAATGTGTATAGCCTTCAACTCCCTTAGAGCTTTTAGTCATTTATTTTGATTAGCGCTGTATTTAAAAGATAAGTCTCTTAAGTAAGTCGCCTGGGAAGACGGCTTGGCGAGGGTGGCGGCGGGGGAACAAGATGAAGTCTGTTTGATGATTATGAACTCGGAACTATCGGCTTGTCAATTAATTAGGCACTTCCCGGGTACATGCGCGCCCCTCGTTTCATTCGCCGGGCCCCGTCTCTCGGTGGACAAATACCCGCGGCGCCGCCATTGTATGTCTAAGTCGTTACACGCATCTCCCGCAGCTGGGGAACGGAGAATAAAGATCCTTCAAAGGCAGAAGGTTTTCAAGAGCCTCCTTTTTTTTTTTTTTTTTCCTTTCTTTCTCGGAGCAGCGCGTGTAGCCGCTCGAAGGCTTTACTCTGCCGGTGTCTCCTTTTCAGACGCAAACAAGAGCTGGAGACCGACGTGGACATGAAAAGGTGGGTGGAATGAGAGGACCGAGCTCGAAGTGAGGCCCTCCCATTATTTCTGCCTCGCAGGCCGACCACGTGTGCGGCGAGGCGTGCAACAAATAGAAATGTGCATTTCACATCAAAGAGGGGAACGCCGCACATACCTGGGGAAGATTCTTCACATTTTCCCCCACACGCGTTGTTGGTTCTGTATCCGTGCCGACAGGCGGGGGATAGATGAGCAGATTCCACATACGTGTGTGCATTTCATATGTGACCAAGCGTGCACGAAGGCCCGTCCAGGAAACTGCTTCCTAGAACCCACGTGAAGGGAAGGGAGGAGAAATTAAGCCTAAACCGAAGGTTCAAATACGAGTGTGGTCTCAGCAGGGTGGGCTAGCGAGCTAACGGCTCTGTGGATAAATGGTATACAACCTCTGTTAAAACCCCAATATGTGAAAAAAACGCCTTCATACGTGAGCTCTACAGGAGCTGGCATGTGGTTTGTGTTGCCTTTGGATATAGAACCTTGTCATTCATGTTGGTTCAGTCCATTTGGGTCATTCCCTAATATTGCACAATGTTTACTGGATAAGATAAGAATGGGTGACGGTGGGCACATTTATAGTGGTTAATCTAATATAATTGTTATAAGAAGAATAAAAATACGGAAAAACCACACATCGAACGAGCTGACAAAGCTGCACGGAATAACATTAGTGCATTTTTATACCATATTTTTTAACATTTTTTTCCCAGCTCTGGTGACTCGTTCTTTTTTTTTTCTCTTGCCACGGCAATTTTCACATTTGTACTCATTTTGTCAAAAATATTCTGAACCTCAAATAGCGCGTGCGATGTCACGATGATCTTAAGCGGGTTTTTGTTCTCGTCCCGAGGTGGTGAGTCACATCGCGTTCGGCAACGCCTCTCTCTCTCTCTCTCTCTCTCTCTCTCTCTCTCTCACACCGTCGAGTTTACAGTCTGGTGGAAAAGAATACAAAAGACAGCATGTCGCATTCGACAAGTCATCGAATCAGACCCTTATTTCCTCTGCCCCTTATGTGGGAATCCGTTTGGTCCTCCTCAGCATCACGAACCCTCTGAAGAAATATGTTTTTGCACAGTATTTTCTTTTTAAATGTCCTAATGCCTACGAGCGTCAACAACAGAATATCGCACATCTGTAGAAGCACCCATTTTTCCCTACCTCAGGTGGCTACCCAGCTCGGGATACGACTCAATATTTTGATAACAACATTTCACAGCTGCAGCTTGGCAATCGGCAATATCTACTCCAGCAACGGTTTAGTGATTATCTCCCTAAAAGCTTCCACGAGGTGAGGCGCTGCAACACGACTTGGATCTTCCTAAATGAGCGCCGTGTCTCACAGAGAAAATTAAAGACCTAAAATTGTTTTGGCTGCGGCGGTTTCTCCAGCGTGACCTGAAACAGAACGCTAGCATCCCGGGCATGTTGTTCTTTTCATCATGGCGCTGTCTGTCAGAGGCTCCTGGGAGCCTCCCGGAGCACAAAAAGGAACCTTGTATTTTGCAACATCAAGCGCGTGGCGCCTCCAATGTCCGCTGGGGATTGCGTGTTCGAGTCATGGAGTCGAGCTGATGAGCTTTTAAAATCCCTCTCTCTCTTTCTTTCAGACACACACACACACACACACACCAATGTCGCTTTAAACATTAATGCAGGTGATACCCAAGGTCTTACGAGTGTATAGAGCTTTGACCTTGTTCTGTCTCTGTGCTTCCATTACCTGCTTGTAGATCAAAGACACACATGGTGCACCAGGCGTGGGTGAAGATCCTCCCTTAAAGGTAGCGGACAGAGGTAAGTTATCAAACCATCTCGCTTCCCACTCGCACAATGCACCCCCCCCCCCCCCCTCTCCTCTACGGGTCACAAGCTCAGGGGTTTGGGTGCTTCTTTGAATGCTAGTTGCGTAAAGATCGCATCAAAGTGGGCACAGTTGCTCAACTAGATCTTATGAGCTTATGAGAAAGTAAGGCTGCCAACGGAACACATGGAAACATGTAAAACCTCGCACGTTTTAATAGTTTGGATCGTACAGAATGGCAAATATAGAGAACAAACATGCTGCTGAACAATTGCTGGAAAATATTTACTACAGAGTTGGACTAATCCAAATTTGTGATTTGATCTTTACCTCCACCTTGAGTGAAAAACAATGCAATTTGATTCTCAAGCTTTGGCACTAACTCAATTTAAATATCTTATGATGGCCGATCGCCCTACTTTTAAAACCTAGATGTGTAGTTCTTGGGATTATTGTATCTTTTGAAGAAGCACATGCGCTGGGGGGGATTGCGGTGTTTTTTCGTACCACCACTGGGAGGGGCCCAAGCTAGAATGGACAAATCTTAAAAATAGTGGCGTTAACTAATAAATACACTAAAAGGTATATGCACAATTATAAATAATTTTGTTTTGTAGATGTATTTTTATTGACAAGCTACTTTTTGTACTATGTAATGCACAAACTATTGCTGCAATCGAGGATTGTTATATGTCTATTTGGGACATGTGTTGTCATTGTGGGGACAGAATTTGCGGTGGTGAAATGTGCAGGGAACTCTACAAACAAACGCAGCCATCAAACACTTTTCAAATATCCTGCTGTTGAATAGAAGTATTCCAGCATACCTATTGTCTGAGAACAACAAACAGATTACCCATGCATGAGAGCTTTCCATTTCTTTGGCCCTCCTTCCGCACCAAATATATGTGAGAATGCACTTAGTGTGGGTGTGGGGCTTATGTGCGAGGCTGTTTGTGTGCGTCTCGTTTTTTTTTTTGTTTTCAAGGTGATGCAGCTAGTTTATTCCCACCTTCACGCCACAAGCATATTATCCCGCTCCAGCTGCTTCGAGGAGACAGGCGCAGGTATTTATGGCTAGCATAAAAAGCGTGTGCATTTCCCTGTCACCCTACAGCTCCTGGTTTACGGCACGTTTGACAAACACGCTGAATAAAAAAGAAAAAAAATGAAAGAAGGAGACTGTTCAATTTGTATAGTAGTAGTAGAGTTTACAGCCTGTCTGTTGTGCATGTTCCCCCAACGGAATCTGCTGTTAGGACACGTGTGTGTGTGTGTGTGTGTGTGTGTGTGTGTGCGCACGCGCATGTGTGTCTCGCTGTCTATGTACGCCTCCCGCTGTGTCGATCTGCCTGCCTGTCTGCATGTGCCTGTGTGTGTGTGTGTGTGTGTGCGCAGCCCGCCTGCTCTGAAACACCAGCAACAGATAACAGATGGTCCCGCTGCATTAGAAGTGTTTTATTTCCCCGCGGAAGCCAGATATGTCAAAAATAAGCATGCGCAACATTAGTCACTTGGAATATTCATGCCCCTGCCGTCCGATGGTTTCCTTTTCGCAGCCAAAATATGCCCCCAATTCTCCTAAGGAAGTTAGGGTAATAAAGGGGGGGGGAAGCAGTCATCAGCTGAACGGATCGGGCCTGCACGCGGCGTGAATGGAGGAGCTTCCTCACAGGTCTGTAAATAAACAGGGGGGCTACAGTGAGCTGATGTGTTCATAACGAGAACCACGTCCCTCCGCCCCATTAGGCACAGCGACGTGCACATGCACGTGCAAAATGGTAATTAGCACCCACATTGCATCCGCCCCCCCCCCCCCCCCCCATCGACTGGAGCAGACTGCATTCCTTCATAGACACGTCTTCGGGAGTCCTCAGTCACTTCTCCCCCCTTTTCTCCTCTCCACCTCCCTTTGGAGCTTCAGCCTCTTTAATCTCCCCCTCCTAGGCTTCCCACTCCCCTTTACCACCATTGGCCTGCGCCGTCATCGGGCCCGGTTAACCGTCCCCGTAGTTGGCAGTCGGGAGGAGGCAGGGGGGGGGCGATGGCATGGTCGCCAAGGAAAACATGAATTGCGAGCAGCTCTTTCTCACTCGCCGGGTCCCTCGTGTTTAGGGTTAATTTGTGGCGGTGCGCGTGAACGTCGGAGAAAAGAAGAGAGGAGGAAGAAAGGAAGAAGCTACCCGACAGTAAAGCACTGCTTATCACATAAATGGAATATGATTTATTCAGGAATATGCAAATCCAACAATCACTCTGCCTTGTTTACCGAAGGGACCTTCTGATTCAGAGTCTGCGCGCGAGAGAGAGAGAGAGAGAGAGAGAGAGAGAGAGAGAGAGAGAGAGAGAGAGAGAGAGAGAGAGAGAGAGAGAGAGAGAGAGAGAGAGAGAGAGAGAGAGAGAGAGAGAGAGAGAGAGAGAGAGAATAGGCCGAGCCAAGAGACGGTACATGTAGAGAGGCTTTCAGCAGCAACTAAATCTCTGCTTTTCCTCAGAATCGTAAAGCGAAGGGTGCCGGACCATTTTGTGGTTGTTTCGCGCCTTTGAAAAACCTATTAATTGAAATTCTTTGAGCCGGATTGCTGATGTAAAGAGTGGAGGGATGCAGGCAATACATCGTCTTGTACCATGTAAATACGGCGCAAGACATACAAAGCTGTTTCATTAAGGTTCATATTGGGCCACATGCTGCCGTCCGTAACCGTAGCGCTGGAAGTACTGTGACTGATGATATGAAAAGGGCTCGGCCTGAGCCCGACTCGTCCCCTTCGCTTCATTTTGGAAAATGCTAAAGAACAAGAAGAAGAAAAAAAAAAAAATGCATGGCGCCGAGGAGGGGCAGCGCGCGAACGTGTTCAACAGGAGTGTCTGAGTGGGTGTTAGCGTTCTATTTTTAGATGCTTTTGCTGACACGGATAAGTCCCGACCGGTCGACTCCGTGTCAACATCGGCGCCGCGCGGCTCAGGGCGGATTTAAAATAGTGCGTAGAGCCATTTTGAACCCGCGAATGGCGGATTTCTTTTAATACATTTAGAGAGAGATGTCAATATGAGCACCAGCATTGATGTGTTCCATCACAGTACAGCCACAGCATATTGTTTGCCGCTCAAATAAAACCCCGTCAAGGTGCGCAGTACATCCTTAAATACGCATTTCGTAGCGACCAAAACATTTCAATCCAAACCCGAGAAGTACTCAACGCTGGGATCAAAATGTCTGAAGAGATCTTGTCAACTTATTCTTCGATCAGATCAAATTTCAATCAACATTTTGTCTAAATTGTATTTAGGAAAAGTCCTTGTACAGCTACTTGTTTGTTTATAATTTGAATAGTTGGGTGTTTTTTGTCCATTGAAAACGGGGCTTTATAGAGAAACTGGTTTGTATCCCACAAAGGAAGATCTAAAAGAAAGCCATGAATATGGGGTGCTTTAATATTTAATCCACCGGTTGTACAAAGGATGCCACGGAACACCAAGTAACACAGAGTGTTGCAGATCCTCGTACCGGTACTAATAGCGAGCCTTCGTTCTGCCTTGAAAGGGAGTGAGCACATGTGCTTTCCATCTCCACTTTTGACAGCGCCGAGCAATTATTGCGTTACCTCTGCAGGAGTCATGCTCCATTTGCAATATCATCCTCTCAGTCAACTGCGTTTATTCAATACATCCTTTTTTAAGAACCTGCGGGTTGGGATTCACTTGTGTTCATTGTTTCCCAAAAACAGCGAAGCCCGATCAACCTGTGGATACGCGGTGTGCGGGAACACAAAAACAAGGTGTTGTGAGCTGATAAGTGTGGACGACAAGCGGCTACGGGGAGATCTGAGGACGGTTTCTCTGCCGCGTATTAATCCGCGTCTCCGGGGCCCGAGGTCATCGCGGTACGCCGCTGTTTGCCTCGGGTAGGAGAGTAAAGATTTCTCCCCTGACGACCGCACATCTGATGCACGACACACACAGATGCAATACAGCGTGTTGTTAAAAGATGAAACCCACAGCCGGGTGCTGTGAGCCGGGACGCAACGTACCACGTGCAGCCGAGCGACAGTTCGACGGCCTCAAATTTGATTCCGAACCGCCTTTTTCCGTCGGTAACCACATTTAGTTACCTGTCCCGTTTCTTTTTTTTTTCTCTCTTCTCTTTTATCCTCGCCTGGTCGTGGAAACCGGTATTTCGACGCGGACATTTTCCCGACTCTCTGCCGAGGGCCCAATTAGTGGCGGTGTATTGATTTCTCTGTGCGGCGTCGCGTGCACTCTTCGAGGTGAGTCCCCTACAGCTACAATGCGAGTGTGTAGAAGGCAACAATTATCCTTTTCTAACAGATTCTCTGAGGCCACACAAAAGAGAGGAGGGCTCAGAAAATTGATCTCTTCAGGCTTGTAAGCCTGTTGCAAGTGTGTGTGTGTGTGTGTGTGTGTGTGCGCGCGCAGACACGGCCGCCCGCAAACTCAGTGATGTCTTCCAGCTATAATATGCAACCTTTTGATGTCCGTACCCTTTAATAATTATGTTCAAACTTTTCCTATTTATTCTCTCTTTGAGTGTTGACATCGAGCAATGAGAGCAGATACGGCGTATCGGTCTGGCTTTGTGTGACCATGTGCATATTATATGAAATTGCCTGAAATGGGCAATTTGGTGCTATTTTTAGACCGTGTGCATTTGCAGTGGCCATTGTCACGAGCAAGGTTGTAGTTCTCAAGCACCGGAATCCATAGCAACGCCGATAATGGCAGAAATAATGTGATACGAAATGGAAAAAAGGAGTTGAACCAGATGGCCGTTGTTTGTTCTAGTTTTCTTTCGTTCTTGGTTTTGTATCATGGATTTTGTTCTATATGTCCCTGCTGGTTTAAAGTAGACACCACAGCCAGATGAGTGGCAGCTATTTGGACATTAACTTGATTATTTGAGCAAATATTATAAGAATATTTTTTTCCCCTATGTTATAGTTTTAGGATTATATCTTTAAAGGGAACAGAGACC